AATTCAAGGCTCCATCCTAACTATATTCTTTGAAATAGAAGCCCCTTCTTTCCCAAAGGCACCGCCCCTAGAGCTTCAGACTCCGCCCCCTAATTACCTCTTTTTCCACTGAGTTTCTTTTTTTTTTCCCCCCTCCTCCTCTTCCTCCCCCTCCACTGAGTTTCGGGCCACACCCTTTCCCACAGAAAATTGGGACGGGACCACATGTAGGATCCCAAGCCCACCCCTTTTATGTTTGTCTCGCTTTGGGGTTCCAGGCCCCATATCGCACAACAGCTGGATTCTTTTTTTTTTTTTTTTTTTTTTTTTTTTTTGAGACGGAGTTTCGCTCTTGTTACCCAGGCTGGAGTGCAATGGCGTGATCTCGGCTCACCGCAACCTCCGCCTCCTGGGCTCAGGCAATTCTCCTGCCTCAGCCTCCTGAGTAGCTGGGATTACAGGCACGTGCCACCATGCCCAGCTAATTTTTTGTATCTTTAGTAGAGACGGGGTTTCACCATGTTGACCAGGATGGTCTCGATCTCTCGACCTCGTGATCCACCCGCCTCAGCCTCCCAAAGTGCTGGGATTACAGGCTTGAGCCACCGCGCCCGGCTAACAGCTGGATTCTTAAGGTTCCCAGATCTGTAGCGTTAGCTCCGCCCCCACCTCGTGGATCCCAGGATCCACCCACACAGGGTACTAGGCCACATGCCCTGACCATGGAGCCCACCCCAGACCAAGAACCGCAGCTGATCCGACTGTATCCCCACCCCCCTACTCCTGCTCCGTCTTCCAGTCCAGGAGGGTGTGCAGGACTGACAGGGACGCCCTTCACCACCCCCCACCACCCCAGCTTACAGTGAGACTCACAGGCTGACTCACACGGCTACACACCGTTTCTGCCACCTACAACAATCCATGCTTCCATCTCACACTGACACCCAGAAATCTGGGTCCAGCACCGTCCAGGGACACAGTCCCTGGGGCAGTGACCACGGCACTCACACTCCATTCACAGCCATTCGTGGGCTGTCCCAGAGCCCGGCTCTGCCCAATGACTGTATTCCATGACCCTGTCTTTGTATAAGCCCCCAAGACCCCTGCTCACATGACCCTGCAGGACAGCATATCCCTGCCCGCTTCCCCCCTCACCCCCTCCTACCCTGTAGCTGGAGCATTTGCTGGGGGCGCTGCTGAAATTTCTCCCTGCTGTCCGGGATCCAGCGCATCTTCAATGCTTGTTGCTAGGCAACAGCCTCTGGCTCACCACTGCAACTTCCGGCGTTGGCCTCCCCTCCCCCTAGAATTTGGAGTCCCCAGCTCCCAATCCCCCGTATCAGTGTCACTATCTCCCAGAGTTGTGTCTGTCACCCCTTAGATCCTAACTGATCTCAACCCTTCAGAATCCCTCAGAGTTCTAGTGGCCCGGCATTCCAGAATCTTCCACCCCTCCCCCCATGCCCTCTCATGCACAAAAACACACACACGCAGTTAGTACTATACTAGGATAATACTATCTCTAGCATTTAGATAACCCAACTCTTCAGCGTTCTAGATTTGCTGACATGCCAGATTCCTCCCTCTCTCTCCCTCTCTCTCTCTCTCTCTCCCTCTCTCCCTCTCTCTCTCTCTCTCTCTTCTCTCTCTCCTCTCTCTCCTGTCTCTCTCATTTCTAGAATGAGGCCAGGTGCGGTGGCTCACGCCTGTAATCCCAGCACTTTCGGAAGCCGGGGCAGGCAGATTGCTTGAGGTCAGGAGTTTGAGACCAGCCTGGCCAACACAGTGAAATCTCTGTGTTGGCCTATCTCTACTATCTCTACTAAGAATACAAAAATTATCTACTAAGAATACAAAAATTATCCAGGCATGGTGGTGCACACCTGTAATCCCAGCTACTCGGGAGGCTGAGGTGGGAGGATCACTTGAACCTGGGAGGCAGAGGTTGCAGTGAGCTGAGATCACACCACTGCACTCCAGCCTGGCTGACAGAGTGAGACCTTGTCTCAAAAAATAATAAATTAATTAAAATGTAAAAAAGAAATAAAATACAAATAGAATGACCAGCATTCCAGAAACATGAGCGTTCTGGATTCTCTGGCTTGGAAATAAAAAATGACCCTAATATACTAGATCTGTGAGCATTACAAAACACCATATTCTAGATTTCCTGACCTTCAGCCCCTCCCCGCACATACTAGAATTCTTAATATGCCAATATCCCCCAATATTCTGAATATCCTGGCATGTAAAAAATTTTCTAGAGTCTGAGGCTGGGCATGGTAGTTCACACTTGTAATACCAGCACTTTGGGAGGCTTAGGCGGGAGAATGGTTTGAGACCAGCCTGGGCAACATAGTGAGACAATGTCTCCTCAAAAAAAATTAAAAATAAGCTGGCCATGGTGGCACACACCTGTAGTCCCAGATACTCAGGAGGCTGAGGCAGGAAGATCGCTGGAGCCCAGAAGGTCGAGGCTGCAGTGAGCTATGACGGCACCACTGCACTCCAGTCTGGGCAACAGAGTGAGACCCTGTCTCAAAAACAAACAAACGAAAACAAAACTAGGGTTTGAGACACAGCTATTTCAGAATACCTGGGTTCAGAAGCACTTACCTTTTTGTTCTTTAAATTCGATTTGTGGGACATTCATTACATCTTTTTTTTTTTTTTTTTGAGATGGAGTCTCACTCTGTCGCCCAGGCTGGAGTGCAGTGGCATGATCTTGGCTCACTGCAACCTCCGCCTCCAGGGTTCAAGCGATTCTCCTCCCTCAGCCTCCTCAGTAGCTGGGATTATGGGTGTGCACCACCATGCCTGGCTAATTTTTTTTTTTTTTTTTTGAGACAGAGTTTCGCTCTTGTTACCCAGGCTGGAGTGCAATGGCGCGATCTCGGCTCACCGCAACCTCCGCCTCCTGGGTTCAGGCAATTCTCCTGCCTCAGCCTCCTGAGTAGCTGGGATTACAGGCATGCGCCACCACACCCAGCTAGTTTTTTGTATTTTTAGTAGAGACGGGGTTTCACCATGTTGACCAGGATGGTCTCAATCTCTCGACCTCGTGATCCACCCGCCTCGGCCTCCCAAAGTGCTGGGATTACAGGCTTGAGCCACCGCGCCCGGCCCTAATTTTTGTATTTTTAATAGAGATGGAGTTTAACCATGTTGATCAGGCTGGTCTCAAACTCCTGACCTCATGATCTACCTGCCTAGGCTTCCCAAAGTGCTGGGATTACAGGCATGAGCCACGGCGCCTGGCCTAGCACTCACCTTTTAGGTCTCTTATTTGTGTTATAGATTCTTTGATACTCTGGAACCTCTTGCCATTATGGATTTCTTGAACTGCAAACAAACCCTCCAGTGCTCTGGAAGGGCCAATAGTCCAGGATCTCTCCCATTCTCTACATTTCCTAGTTAAACAGATTCCTTTCTGTATCCTATACTTCTCAGTATTCCAGACATCCTGGCATGCAAGATTTATGGTGAAGATTCATGGGTATGAACTCCCCTGACACCCTCCTATTTAGATCTGCCTGCCCCGGCTTCCGAAAGTGCTGGGATTACAGGCGTGAGCCACTGCACCTGGCCTCATTCTAGAAATGAGAGAGACAGGAGAGAGAGGAGAGAGAGGAGAGAGAGGAGAGAGAGGAGAGAAAGAGAGGGAGGGAGAGGGAGAGAGAGAGAGAGAGAGAGAGAGAGAGAGAGAGAGAGAGAGAGAGAGGAATCTGGGATGTCAGCAAATCTAGACGCTGGGTGCCGTGGCTCACACCTGTAATCAATCAATGATTTTCCGGGTCCTTTTTGTCAGAAAGTCCACATTCTGGATTCTCTAATATTGTTAATCCACAAGCACTCCAGAATAGCATTGTGGCCAAGACGTCCTGACATTCGAGACCCCTCTCTACTGTGGCTTTTTGTTTGTTAGTTTTTTGAGAGATGAGGTCTCCCTATGTTGCCCAGGCTGGAGTGCAGTGGCTATTCACAGGCACGATCCCATTACTGATCAGCACGGGAGTTTTGACTTGCTCTGTTTCCCACCTGGGCCGGTTCACCCCTCCTTAGGCAACCTGGTGGTCCCCCACTCCCAGGAGGTCACCATATTGATGCTGAACTTAGTGCAGACACCCGATGGGTATAGCGCACTACAGCCCGGAACTCCTGGGCTCAAGCGATCCTCCCACCTCAGCCTCCCGAGTAGCTGGGACTACAGGCACAGGCCACCGCACTGGGCTCCACTATGTTTCAGAAGCTCTGGAATTCCAGAGACTATGGAATTCTAGAATTAGCATGTTCTAGTGCCCTTTACTCCTAGTCTGTCCCCACTTTCTGTCCCTTTTTTATTGGCACAAAGGAAAAAAAATGCAGAAAACCTCCCTGTGGAGGTGCCATAGGAATGGGCGTTATTTTCAGGGAAAAAAATCCCAAGGCCAGCTGGGCGAGGTGGCTCACACCTGTATCCCAGCCAGCAGTTTGGGAGTCCGAGGTGGGTGGATTATCTGAGGTCAGGAGTTTGAGACCAGCCTTGCCAACATGGCAAAACCCTGCCTCCACAAAAAATACAAAAATTAGCTGGCGTGGTGGTGTATGCCTGTAATCCCAGCTACTTGGAAGGCTGAGGCAGGGGAATCGCTTGAACCTGGGAGGTGCATGTTGCAGTTAGCCAAGATCAAGCCACCGCACTCCAGCCTGGGCAACAGAGTGAGACTCTGTCTCTAAATAAATAAATAAGCAGAAATTAGCCAGGAGTGGTGGCAGGTGGCTATAATCCCAGCTACTCAGGAGGCTGAGGCAGGAGAATTACTTGAACCTAGGAGGTGGAGGTTGCAGTGAGCCAAGATTGTGCCACTGTACGCCAGCCTGGGTAACATGAGCAAGACTGTCAAAAAAATAAAAAATACAAATACAAATAAATAAATAAATAAATCCCAAGGATGTCAAGGCATAGGTTAGCTGAAGCTGTCCCCTACGCCCTGTCCTAAAAGATTAAGAAACAGCAAAGTCAGGGATGCAGGTGGAGATGTTTGCCGCATCGAGGTATGGAGTACAAATGTTAAGGATGCAGTAACCAATCCACTTACATCTGCCACTCTTTTCTGCTTGTTCTTCCCTCCATGCACTCCTCCTCCACTCTACCCACGTGGGGCTGACCTCACCTTCAGGCTTGAGGACACGTGATCCAGGCTGGGATAATGGAAGTCCTTCATCACTCTGGCCACAGTAATTGGTTCAGGAATGGCCACCTGACTCAATTCAAGCCAATGAGAATCAGTCCTGTGATTTTTGCTGTTGCTAGGGAGAAAAGAGTTGCTAAGGAGCTGCTTAGAGTCACCTTGCCACAGGAAAACACCTGACTGAGGAAGCATTCCAGAGGTAAGTTGAGAGATGAAAAGATATTCTAGGCCAGGTGCAGTGGCTCACGCCTGTCATCTCAGTACTTTGGGAGGCTGAGGTGGATCACCTGAGGTCAGGAGTTTGAGATCATCCTGGCCAACATAGTGAAACCCTGTCTCTACTAAAAATACGAAAATTAGCCAGGTGTGGTGGTAGGTGCCTATAATCCCAGCTACTCAGGAGGCTGATGCATGGGAGTCACTTGAACCTGGGAGGCAGAGATTGCAGTGAGCTGAGATGGTGCCACTGCATTCTAACCTGGATGACAGAGTGAGACTCTGTCTCAAAAAAAAAAAAAAAAAAAAAAAAAATAGGCCGGGCGCGGTGGCTCACGCCTATAATCCCAGCACTTTGGGAGGCCGAGGCAGGTGGATCACGAGGTCAAGAGATCGAGACTATCCTGGTCAGCATGGTGAAACCCTGTCTCTACTAAAAATACAAAAATTAGCTGGGCATGGTGGCACGTGCCTGTAGTCCCAGCTACTCGGGAGGCTGAGGCAGGAGAATTGCTTGAACCCAGGAGGCGGAGGTTGCGGTGAGCCGAGATCGTGCCATTGCACTCCAGCCTGGGTAAAAAAAGCGAAACTCTGTCTCAAAAAAAAAAAAAAAAAAAAAAAAATTCTCAATGAGTGTTTAACCCCCGGATCCAGCCATACCTGAAGGCAAAGAATAAGCCAATACATTCCTCCCTCCCCTTCAACACCTTTTTTTTTTTTTTTTTTTTGAGCCAGTATCTCACTCTGTCACTCAGGCTGATGTGCAGTGATGTCATCATGGTTCACTGCAGCTTTGGTCTCCCAGGCTCAAGTGATCCGATCCTCCCACCTCAGCCTCTCAAGAAGCTGGGACTGGCTGGGTGCCGTGGCTCACACCTGTAATCCTAGCACTTTGGGTGGCCAAGGTGGGTGGATCACCTGAGGTCAGGAGTTCAAGACCGGCCTGGCCATCATGGTGAAACTCCATCATAAAAAAAAAAAAAATAGTAGAAGCTAGAACCACAGGTGTACACCACCATGCCTGGTTAATTGTGGTATTTTTTATAGAGATGGGTTTTGTCATGTTGCCCAGGTTAGTCTAAAACTTCTGAGTGCGAGCAAACCGCCCCCCTCGACCTCCCAAAGTGACGGGATTACAGGCATGAGCCATCGTGCCTGGCTTCCCTTTGCTTAAACAAGAGAGGTAGACATTCCTGATTTTATATATATCAGGTCAGGTCCCTCATCTCCACCACCCCTTTCCTGGGGAGTCATAAACCTGCTAAGAATAAGCAAGATGTGGCCGGGCGCGGTGGCTCAAGCCTGTAATCCCAGCACTTTGGGAGGCCGAGGCGGGTGGATCACGAGGTCGAGAGATCGAGACCATCCTGGTCAACATGGTGAAACCCCGTCTCTACTAAAAATACAAAAAACTAGCTGGGCATGGTGGCGGGTGCCTGTAATCCCAGCTACTCAGGAAGCTGAGGCAGGAGAATTGCCTGAGCCCAGGAGGCGGAGGTTGCGGTGAGCCGAGATCGTGCCATTGCACTCCAGCCTGGGTAACAAGAGCGAAACTCCGCCTCAAAAAAAAAAAAAAAAAAAAAAAGAATAAGCAAGATGTTAGCAGTGAGAACTTTATTGGGGAGGTTGACTTTGGCTTCCAGAAAAGAGGGAAGATGGGGACCTAGTAACAATGACTATTTATTCCAAGTAGGCCCTGGCCCTGAACCCAGGGCTCCCACAGGGCAAGGGAGGTACCTGAGTACCCCAGGACCAGGGCATCCCAAGGTATCATGGCAGCTGTGTGGTTCAAAAGGAAGTTTCGTTGAGCTTCATCTTGGGAGGCATGAGGGGAGTGCCGAGACCAGCAGAGGGCCACGGGGCTGGCGTGGGTGGCCGTCGGAGCTCCGGCCCACTCCGCACCAGTTCCTGGCAGCGTTCCACAAAGCTGCCTCCCCCACGGCGCCGGGCCTCAGCCTTCGGGGGGCTCGGGCTCCCACGGTGGCCGGACAAGGAGGTGTTGCTGGAGGCTGAGTGGAGGCTGAGGGAGTAAGGACAGTAAGTACACGTCCTCAAGGGGAAGCTGGGCCACTCTGCCCCCGGAGTCACCACACTGTCCCCTCTTCCTCCCATTGCTCAGAGAGGGAAGTGCAGTTGTGGCTACCTGGTGAGGGAGATTCGGGGTGAGGGGCTGGGGAGAGAGCCCCACGAGGGAGCTGGTGGGGCCAGCTCACAGTGTTCCAGCTGTTCCATCAGCTCTTGCTCTGTCAGGCCACCTGCTGGGGGACACGGAAGCAGGGTCAGGGGGCAAGACGGGGATCACAGGGCAAGGGCCAGGGTTGCATTGCGGTGCAAGTATCCAGGGTCAGGACAGGCGACAGGAAGCAGAGATCAATGCACCGGGGTCAGAGGCTGAGACAGCGGTTGAAAAACAAGGGCAGGAAGGGATGGGGACAGAGAGAGGGGGTCAAAGGGTCAGAGGGCAAGAGCCTGGGAGAGATCAAGAAATCAGCTGTGGGACGTGGTTCTGGGTGAGGTTGCGGGGCTTGGGACGGGACTAGGGTGGGGCAGAGTACCAGGGGCCTGGCCAAGGCCATCCATGGCGGTGGTTAAGTCCCACATGGCCAAGCTGCCATTGGCCTGGCCAGTGAGCAGGTAGCGCCGGGGCCGAGAGCCGAGCCGCCGGGAGCCCTCGCACTCCAGCACCGTGAAGGCCGTCGTGGGTGAGCCATCCACGGAGCGCACGGAGCACACCCTGTGGGGAGCATTGGGGTAGGTGGTCACCCTCGCTTTCTCACACTTCCTGGTCCCAGCCCCCACCACTGTGGCTGCAGTTCCTGCCTCTCAGGGCCACCCCAGTGGTTATCCATCCCTAGCCTGCTTTTCTCTCGAGTTCCAGTTACAAGGGTCCAGCAGCCTCTTGGACACCCCTGACCCCAAACTCCCAGGGAGTCTCCCCAGAGCTGCTGCTCTTCCCAGTTCCCACTGCAGGGAAGGCCCGAGTCCCATCCTAGCTGCTCCCCAACCTCCTATCAGCCTCCTGGCCTCCCATCAAGCCTCCTTTCATCCCCTGAGCAGTGGCCGCAGCTCCCTGAACAGGACAGCCTCAGCCCATCCACAGCTTGACGAGGACTCGCCCGCATCTGCGCCCCATCCTCACCTCCTGTTCTGTGCCCCAGCCCGAGAGCCCACGTGTCCTTCCCGTGTGACCTTATTTGGCCCTTCCCAGCCTCCGCACATATGGTTCCCTCAGCCTGCGGCCCCCTGCCTCTCCCTTCTTTCTTTCGCTCCTTCCCACTTGCCCTCTAGGTCTCTGCTCAAAGTCCCTTCTTCCAGAACATCCTCTTTGCCCAGCTGAAGCAAGGCTCCTAAAGCTCCCTGGGCCACCTCCATCCTACCCCTACCCCTCTGCCTGGGCCCTCCATCCCACTATCAACCCTCTGCCTGGGCCCCCCATCCCACCCTCACCCCTCTGCCTGGACCCCCCATCCCTGCCTCACCCCTCTGCCTGGACCCCCCATCCCACCCTCACCCCTCTGCCTGGACCCCCCATCCCTGCCTCACCCCTCTGCCTGGACCCCCCATCCCACCCTCACTCCTCTGCCTGGACCCCCCATCCCACCCTCACCCCTCTGCCTGTGCCCCCAACCTGGCCCTGCCTGCAACAGGCTGGGTTCCAGGTCACCTCCACCCACACCTGTCACACCTTTAATACCTCCTGCCCCAAACCCACCAGGCCTGTCCTCCCTCCCAGCCTTTGTTCCTTCAACGTTGCCTGGCTGGGACCCCTTTCTGGCCTCAGTGACCTAGCTGCCATCTTGCCTTCTCCCCTGACCTCCCCGCTGTTGGACAGGACAGTCCTCACCGCTGCCCAGTAGAAGAGAGACGCACGAAGAGCTGGCTGGCGCTGGGCACCACCTTCTGGATGAACACTTGCTGGTCATCCCGCTCGCCGTAGGGGCCTGGGACAGGCAGGGGCAGGAGTCGGGCCAGCTGGGGTCCCCTGGGCCTCAGACTCCCTTCCGCACTGATGAAACCCACCACCCCAAGACCCCGATCCTGTCCCCAGGCTGTTGGAGTTGGGCAGGGCAAGAGAGGGCTGAGGGTTTCGGCAGCCAGTGGAGCTCAGGTGCCTCAAGGGTCGGGACATCCCAATCGTTGCAGGCTCCTGGGTCAGGTGGCAGCGAGTGGGAATCAGTGGAGGTCAACAGGGGTCAGGTAGGGGGTCAGTGGGGTGCAGGGGCCAGGAGTCAGTCAGCACCACCAATGTCGTTGCCGGCACTGCAGCCACCATGCCCGTCGGCCGACTCTAGCGCCAAGATCTTGAAGGAAGCCAGTGGGGTGGAGCCGGGCTGGGTGGAAATCATGCCTCGGAAGCGAGTCACAGACCACGTCCGCACGTGGTTGTTGTCGGCACAGACTGAGGGGCACAGGGAGAGCAGAAGGTCAGGCCTGGTGCAGGCTCAACACACCCACCCCTCCAGAGCCCCACCACAGCCCCGTTTCAGGAGGGTCAGGCTTTCCTGAGTCCTTCACTTTCAGAGAATCCTCTCCTCCCCAGAATTCCACTTTTTTTTTTTTTTTCTTACGAAGCCTCCAGTGGAACAGAATTCCAAATGTTAAAAACCCTGTTGCCGCCAGGCACAGTGGCTCACGCCTGTAATCCCAGCACTTTGGGAGGCCGAGGTGGGCAGATCACAAGGATCAAGAGATCAAGACCATTTTGGCCAACATGATGAAACCCCATCTCTACTAAAAATACAAAAATTAGCTGGGCGTGATGGCATGCACCTGTAGTCCCAGCTACTCGGGAGGCTGAGGCAGCAGTATCGCTTGGGCAGAGAGGCGGAGGTTGCAGTGAGCCAAAATCATGCCAGTGCACTCCAGTCTGGGCAACAGAGCAAGACCCCATCTCAAAAAAAAAAAACCAACAAAAACCCAGTTGCCTCTGCCTCAAGAATTGTTCCAGAGCCTGGTCTAACCTTCCCCTGTCCTCTGCCCCACGCTGGTCCTGGTCCATTTTGCCAAGCCTGAACCATGTCAGCACCTCACTCCCAGAGGCCCCTGCTCCTCCTGTCCTATCCATGTAGTGTGTTCCCACGGGCAGCCAGGTGGAGCCTGTGGACGCCTGAGTGTAGCCATGTCCCTCCCCTGCTCAGAGCCCTCTGTGGCTCCTGCCCTTGTCACCTCCATACCCTCATCTCCCCCCATTCTCCCCTCATTCACTCTGTTCCAGGCACAAGGGGATCCCTGCGCTTCCTCAGGCATCCTCACCTCAGAGCCTTCACAATGTCTGTTCCCTCTGTCTGAATGCTTGTCCCCACTGATCTACGCTGCTCATTCCATTATTTCTGTTGAAACGTCCTTCCTCAGGCCTTCCCTGAATGACCCGTCTCCAGCAACTTCACACTCTCTAGCCACACACAACTTCATGTTTATTCACACCCCTTATCACTGCCTGGTGTTGAATTAGATTATTATTATTATTTTTTTTTTTTTGTCTTTTTGTTTTTTTCCTTTTTGTGGAGAACGGGGTCTCGCTATATTGCCCAGGCAGGTCTCGAACTCCTGGGCTCAAGCTATCCTCCCGCCTCTGCCTCCCTAAGAGCTGGGATTACAGGCGTGAGCCACAGCGCCCGGCCTGAATTAGATTATTTTATTAGTATTTTATTTTATGAGACAGAGTCTTGCTTTGCTGCCTGGGCTGGAGTGCAGGGGTGCAATCATCACCAACTGCAGCCCCTGACTCTTGGGCTCAGGTGATCCCTCCGCCTCAGCCTCCCAAGGAGCAGGGACCACAGGTGCGAGCCACCACATCAGCTAATTTTTCAAAGTTTTTTTTGTAGAAACAAGGTCTCACTTTGTTGTCTAGGTTGGTCTCACACTCCTGGCCTCAAGCAATCCTCCCAGCTTGGCCTCCCAAAGTGCTGAGCCATAGTGCTCCCCCTGATTTGCATTTTTCTTTATTTAGAGATGGAGTCCCACTCTGTTGCCCAGGCTGGAGTGCAGTGGCACGATCTTGGCTCACTGCAATCTCCGCCTCCCAAGTTCAAGCAATTCTCCCGCCTCAGCCTCCCGAATAGCTGGGATTACAGGTGCGTGTTACCACACATGACTAACTTTTTATATTTTTGGTAGAGATGGAGTTTCACCAGATCGGCCAGGCTGGTCTCAAACTCTTGACCTCAAGTGATCCACCCACCTTGGCCTCCCAAAGTGCTGGGATTATAGGTGTGAGCAACCACACCTGGCCACTGATTTCCATTTTTATATATTTATTGTTTGCCATCCCCGCTAGAATGTCAATTCTACAAGGGCAAGGACTTGGCCTATCTTGTTCATCACTGTATCCCCTATGCCTGGCACACAGTGGGTGCCCCATAAATCCTTAGTGAATTGCTGGATTCCCTGACACACACAGATTCACTTTTCCCCAGACAGATCCCCTTACGGTGTTCTCTCACTTCTGCAATGACAGCCCCATCCCAGGTCAGTCCTCTCCCAGTGAGCTCTCTTCCCACATAATGTCCCTCCCCAGTGGAAATTCTCATCCTCCTGGCTCCACACTCCATCGGAGCCGTCTCTCCCAGCACCTCCAGCAGCCCAGGGAGGCTCACCTGAAATGAGGTGCTTCTCTGACAGCATGATCTTGGTGACAGGGCTGCGGTGCACAGTGAAGGTCTGGAAGAGCTGAGGCCCCGAGCCCACAGTCTCTGGGTGCTGCACGATGACCCGCACGCCCCCCGAGCTGGTGCCATAGGCGATCTCAATCCAGTTCCCACTGTCACCTGGTGAGGGGCCAAGGATGAAGAGATGGCCTGGGCCACAGAGACAGGAACCAGGGCATAGAGAAGGAGACAGGTATGGAACAGAGATACAGCCAGAAAGCAAGGAGAGGTGGGGTGCGGTGGCTCATGCCTGTAATCCCAGCACTTTGGGAAGCTGAGGTGGGTAGATCACCTGAGGTCAGGAGTTCGAGACCAGCCTGGCCAGTGTGGTAAAACCCTGACTCTACTAAAAATACAAAAATTAGCCAGGTATGGTGGTGTGTGCCTGTAGTCCCAGCTACTTACGAGGCTGAGGCACGAGAATTGCTTGAACCCAGGAGGTGGAGGTTGCAGTGGGCCCAGATTGCCCCACTGCACTCCAGCCTTGGCAACAGAGCAAGACTCTGTCTCAAAACAAACAAACAAACAAAAAAAAAAGAAGAAGAAGAAGAAGAAGAAAAGACAAGTCGAATCTGCCGCCCCCGATAAACCCCCTGGGTCATGCTACACGAGCTGGGGGACAGCTGCAGGCTGGGGCTGGCTGGTGACAGCGCCCGGGAAGCCGGGTCATAGCTTACTGGTCTTGGGGGTGAGGTAGACACTGAGGGCGGTGACCCCATCCTCTGCCGGGTCCCGGTAGAGCTCGCTGACCAGGAGGTCGTTGTCTTTCATGCGCAAGGGGAACTTCTGCACATCTGAGGTGGGCAGAGAGGGCAGAGTGGGTTTATTCCACGTGCCCCGGCCTGTCTCCCCCGTCTTCCGCTCTACCAGGGGAGGCTCTCGGGCACCCAGGACACGGGCTGCTGCTCACCCACGTAGTAGATGGAGCCATTGTTGCAGCCCAGGAGGAGGAAGGAGCCTGCCGCGTCATAACTGGTGATGGGCTGAACCTCCTGGACCTGGGGGCGGGCAGGACAAGCTGCAGCCGGGAGCCCTTGCGCTCCTTTGCTTCCGTGGTGACGCCTCACAGAGGATGGGCCCTCTCTTCCCCTCCAGAACCCCCCTCCTGCTCCCCAGCCCAGCCCCCACAGGCCGACCTCTGTCCCTCTTGCTACCTCCCTTCCTGCCTTCTGTGTATCTCTCTCTCTGACTCTTGGCCTCTCCTGGACTCCGTACTTTTTAAAGTTTTAATTTTTGTTGTTGTTGTTGTTGTTGTTTTTTGAGACTTAGTTTCGCTCTTGTCGCCCAGGCTGGAGTGCAATGGTGCGATCTCGGCTCACCGCAACCTCCGCCTCCTGGGTTCAGGCAATTCTCCTGCCTCAGCCTCCTGAGTAGCTGGGATTACAGGCACGCGCCACCACGCCCAGCTAATTTTTTGTATTTTTAGTACAGATGGGGTTTCACCATGTTGACCAGGATGGTCTCGATCTCTTGACCTCGTGATCCACCCGCCTCGGCCTCCCAAAGTGCTGAGATTACAGGCTTGAGCCACCGCGCCCGGCCGATTTTCTATTTTTATTTGCTTAGTTTTCTCCCACTCTCTCTGTCTCTTTCTCGGCCTCTGTCTTTCTCCCAAAGCCTTCCTCCCACCTCAGCCTCCCGAAGTGCTGGGATTACAGGTGTGAGCCACTGAGCCAAGCCAGTTCTTGTCTCTTCCAGCGACTTCCCTAACTGCTCTCTCACCCAGTCCCAAGAGAATCCTCCCCCCGCTTTTCAAATCCATTCAAGCTTCATGTGGGCTCTGCAGCACCTCCTCCAGGAATGCTTCCCTGATGCTCTTAGGCCTTTATCACAGACATCCCCAGGCTCTAGCCAGCTGCCGATTCTCTGGCTTCCTCCAGGTTTAGGTGGGGTGGGGACAGAAGCAAACCCCTCCCTGGGTCTGTACAGTCTGGAAAACTGGGAAGGGAACACTGACCTGCCAGTGCTTGGTGACGGCATTCCACACCCCGATGCGCCCCGTGTGGCTTGTAGCAATGAGCTGGTTCCCAACGAAGAACAAGGCTTCCACAGGCACCCCCAGATGGAAGACCCCTGCAGTGTGCAAAAGGGGTTCAGCTGGAATCCTGCCTCATGGAGGAGGAGAGGTGGGAGGAAGAATTCCAAGGACCGAGGGTTCAGGAGGATCACAGAAGCCTTGAAGGACAGAAGGTTCCATCAGGGGCTGGGCATAGTGGTTTGCGCCAGGAATTCGAGACTGGCCTGGCCAACATGGTGAAAACCCATCACTACTAAAAATATTAAAAAAGCTGGGCGCGGTGGCTCAAGCCTGTAATCCCAGCACTTTGGGAGGCCGAGGCGGGTGGATCACGAGGTCGAGAGATCGAGACCATCCTGGTCAACATGGTGAAACCCCGTCTCTACTAAAAATACAAAAAATTAGCTGGGCGTGGTGGCGCGTGCCTGTAATCCCAGCTACTCAGGAGGCTGAGGCAGGAGAATTGCCTGAACCCAGGAGGCGGAGGTTGCGGTGAGCCGAGATCGTGCCATTGCACTCCAGCCTGGGTAACAAGAGCGAAACTCTGTCTCAAAAAAAAAAAAAAAAAAAAAAATTACCTGAGTGTGGTAGTGCACACCTGCAGTCCCAGCTACTTGGGAGGCTGAGGCAGGAGAACTGCTTGAACCCGGGAGGCAGGGGTTGCAGTGACATGAGATTGCACCACTGCACTCCAGTCTACACAACAGAGCAAGACTCAATCTCAATTTAAAAAAAAAAAAAAAAAAGTAAAGATTCTAGCAGGAATTACAAAGAATAAAGTAGGCCAGGAGATTTCTGATGGGGTGTGGGATTCTAAATGGACTGGAACTCTAACAGCACTGAGCTTTACAACAAGGCACAGAAAACCTCCAGCGGAGGCAAGGGGATCTTACGAGGGCCTACATTTATTTGCAAGCACATTAGTAAGTCAGAGATTTGTTGTTGTGGCTTTGAGACAGGGTGTTGCTCCATTTCCCAGGCTGGCGTGGGAAATGGTGTGGTGGTACAGTAATGGCTTCAAACGGTCCTCCTGCCACGGTCTCCCAAAGTGCCAGGACTACAGGTGTGAGCTGCTGTGCCCAGCCATAAGTCAGATATTTCTTTCTTTCTTTTTTTTTTTTCCTGAGATGGAGTCTCACTCTTTCACCCAGGCTGGAGTGCAGTGGTGCAATCTCAGCTCACTGCAACCTCCGCCTCCGAGGTTCCAGTGATTCTCCTGCCTCAGTCTCCTGAGTCGCTGGGACTACAGGCACGCCACCACACCCAGCTAATTTTTTGTATTTTTAAAGATGGGGTTTCACCGTGTAGGCCAGGGGCATCTCGAACTCCTGACCTCAAGTGATCTGCCCACCTCAGCCTCCCAAAGCGCTGGGATTACAAGCGTGAGCCACGGCACCAGGCCAAGTCAGAGATTTCTAATGGTGATACAGAATGGCTCATTCTAACAAAATGAAGAGATCTAACTGGGCAGGGAATTCTGATGGAGGGAGAATTGTATGTGGTTGTACGTGGGTGGATTTTTCTAACAAGCCAAGGAATTCTAACAGGATATAGAATTCTGAAGGGCCAGAGCATTCTAATGACACAAAGAGATCTAATGGGGCAGAAAATTCTTATGGGTTTGAGAAGTTTATTGTGGGTTTTATTTTTTGTTTTTTTGAGACAGAGTCTTGCTCTGTCACCAGGCTGGAGTACAGTGGCTCGATCTCAGCTCACTGCAACCTCTGCCTCCTGGGTTCAAGTGATTCTCCTACCTCAGCCTCCTGAGTAGCTGGGACTATAGGCATGTGCCACCACGCCCAGCTAATTTTTGTAGAGACAGGGTTTCACCATGTTGGCCAGGATGGTCTTGATCTCCTGACGTCGAGATCCACCCGCCTCGGCCTCCCCACGCGCTGGGATCACAGGCCTAAGCTACCTCACCTGGCCTGGGGTAGGTTATTTTAATGGGCCATAGAATTTAAAGGACAGAGGGTTCTGGAAAAGTCTTGAGGTCATACCTATCTCGGAGCCACCACCTTCCACCTGCAGAGCCCACAGCAGGATCTCACTGTAGGTGGCCGCTGCCACCATCTTGTCATGTTCACCCAAAGCCCCGCCAGGTACCCGGGCTGTGAGTGCCAGTCGTTCGATGGGCCAGTCCAGGCGGGGACTGGAAAACACCAGCTGCCAGCCAGAGGCTTCCTTCAGCCTGCAGGGTTCAGGGGACATCACCAACCCTCACTGCATGCCCTCCTCGTCAACAGGGCTGGGACCTCCTGCCACTCCCTCCCCGAGCACCTGTAGCAGACTAGAAACTGGGTATAGGCCACGGCGATCCAGTTATGATGCCCACACACCAGGCGCACCATCCCCGGCTCCTCAGGTTGCCCTTGAGGGGAAGAGCGGGCATCAGAAGAGGGCCACAGGGGCCCCACAGCTTCCCCGACCTCCCACGAGATAGAAATGTACCTGAGGGTGAGGGAGGCGCCTTCTCATCCAGCATTCTGCCCAGCAGCCCTGCATTGCCAAGGTTGGGGGGCATCGTGTTGCTCCGTCGGACGGGGGCCGGGCGCCCTCCTAGCTGCTGAGGCCCCAGTAGGCTGTGCCGATTCCGCCGCTTCACCGGGAACGCTAGAGAACAAGAGGTGGAGTAACAGTCATGGTAATCGTGGCCGTCACATAGCAAGCACTTAAGATATGGCAGTGACCTGATTTCCCCATGTGTGGGACATAGTCTCTGGGTGAAGATTTTAGGTGGGGCAGTGACATGGCGTGAAATGACCCTGAACCACACAGCAAATTACTGCCCTTTCCGTTCCCTTGAGCCTTTTGTTTTTTTGGAGTTGGAGTTTTGCTCTTGTTGCCCAGGCTGGAGTGCAACGGTGTAATCTCGGCTCACTGCAACCTCTGCCTCCCAGGTTCAAGTGATTCTCCTGCCTCAGTCTCCCAAGTAGCTGGGATTACAAGCGCCTGCCATGACACCTGGCTAATCTTTTGTATTTTTGGGAGAGACGGGGTTTCACCACGTTGGCCAGGCTGGTCTGGAACTCCTGACATCAGGTGATCCGCCCACCTTGGCCTCCCAAAGGGCTGGGTTTACAGGTGTGAGTCACCGCACCTGGCCGTAATTTTCCCTTTTAACAAATAGAAGACTGCACCGTTGGCAAGCAATAGCATCTAGCCAGAGTTGTTTTTTGCTTTGTTTTGTTTTGAGATAGCATCTCGCTCTGTCACCCAGGCTGGGATGTAATTTGAGATCATAGCTTACTGTAGCCCTGACCTCCAGGCTCAAGCGATCCTCTCGAATAGCTGGGACCCCAGGTGCACCCCACCACACCTGGATAATTTTTTTTATTTTTATTTTTTATTTTTGAGACGAGGTCTCACTCTGTTGCCCATGCTGGAGTGCAGTGGTGCGATCTCGGCTCACTGCAACCTCCACCTCCTGAGTTGAAGCTATTCTCTGCCTCAGGCTCCTGAGTAGCTCGGATTACAGGCACCCACCACCATGCCAGGCTAAGTTTTGTATTTTAGTAGAGACAGGGTTTCACCATCGTGGCCAGACTGGTCTTGAACTCCTGACCTCATAATCCACCCACCTTGGCCTCCCAAAGTGCTCAGACCACAGGAGTGAGCCACCACACCCAGCCAATTTATTTTTATTCTTAGCAGAGAAAAGGTCTTGCTATGTTGCCTGGGCTGATCTCAAACTCCAGGTTTCAAGCGATCCACCTGCCTCGGCCTCCAAACTGCTAGGATTATAGGTGTGAGCCATTGCTCCAGGCCTCACCAGAGTTTAATAACACTGCTATGTTTATTTTCATGTTTACTTTGTATTTGTGATATAAAGCTTGTATTTAAAATGATTTTTTTTTTTTTTTTAGTTAGCCGGGCATGGTGGTGAGTGCTGCTTGGTGGTGGAGCTGAGGTGCGAGGATGGTTCGAACCTGAGAGGCAGAGGTTGCAGTTAGCCAAGATGGCACCACTGCACTCCAGTCTGGGCGACAGAGCCAGACCCTGTCTCAAATAAGTAAATAAATAAGGTAATTAATTAGTTAATTTAAAAAATGATTGTTTTTGGAAAACAGTATAAAACTAAGTTGGAAAAATACTACTACAGGTCTTTATACCTGGCAAATTTCATGAAGGTAGTAGGTACCGAGAGCAGTCAGGGAAATAAAGCTGTAGATGAAATTTCCCTACTCTGTTCCTTCTACCAATTAGAAAAGCCGAGTCCCAATAACCACTGGGGCCATACCTTCCATGTCCAGTGGGGTGGCTATCATGGGCATTATGGTCAATAACTTCCCACTAATATTTCTCCCCTCCGTGCAAAGAATCCCAGGTCTTCCAAAGCTCCCCCTACAAAGAAACCAAATCTGGCCTACAACTCCCATGGGGCTCCAGAGCATCCTTCTGAGCCTCAAGAGCTAGCTGGCCCATTGCCTCATGGGAAATGATATTTCCGACTTCCTTTCCAAGCATCAGCCCAAGCATCTGATAGGGAACTACACCTCCCATCGTGTCTCAGAGTTCACAACACAGGCACCCAAGAGTTTCTGCCTTATGGGAAATGTAGTCTTTAGTCCACCTCCACACCCCTCCATTCCATTGTTAGTGCCCACCTGGTGGGGGCAGGTAACCATTGAAGAGGACGTTTCCGCAAGAAGATCGATCCAACTCCTCTCGAAGCTGCAAGCGACGAACTGCAACGGGAAGACTTAAAGGCTGGGACATAGGGGGATGCTGAGGCCACCCCATTTCCCCTTTTCCGTTTCTCTCTACACGGAATACCAGTACTCCCCTCAGTATCAATACAGACCCAGGACCATATCCAGTGCCCGAAGCTCCATCCCAGCCATCTTTCAGAAGAGAAGGGGAAGAGGGGCAGGCAGCATCACTAACAAGTTGGTTTTCTGTACAATGAGAATGATAGTTGGGGCCCCCACTTACCCAGAGGAGTGAGCCCATAGAACTGGGCTTCATGGAGGAGGCTGGAACCGTGGACACCCCTGGGTAGCAGAATTGACTAGAGGTCAGGATCCAGGGGGTGGGGTTGAGCAGAGAATTCTGAGGGGGAAATTTTCAAAACTGCACAGAGAATGTAAAGGAGTAGAAAGTTTTGATGGAATCAAGATTCTAAGGAGTGATGATATGGGTGAAGTGTGTGTGTGTGTGTGTGTGTGTGTGTGTAGGGAGAAATTGAAGGACATAATTTTAACATGATCAAGGTTCTCATGAAGTTTTGCTTATTTGTTTTTTTAGAGATGGGGTCTCGCTATGTTGCCTGGACTGGTCTCTAAATCCTGGGCTCAAGTAAGCCTCCCACCTCAGCCTCTCAAAGTGCTGGGATTACAGTCGTGAGCAACCCCACCGCGCTAAGCCTGTGATCAAGGTTCCGAATGAGAATTCTAAAAGAATGGAGGTCAAGTGGGCATTCGAGGAAATGAAAGAACTTCTCAGGGGGTGAAGACAGTGAGGGACTCCCTCCCCTTTTTCCATGCCAACCTGGGGTCCAACTCTTTGGTGCGCAGGAAGTTGAGGATGGGAGCAAAGACTGTAGGGTCCCTGTCGATGAAGATCTGCGGGAAAAGAGAGCAGAGGATGGATGGGGTAAAGGGCAGGACTGAGTAGGGGTCCTGCCCATTTTCCGACCCCAACTCCTCCCCTGTCCCATTTCAGTTCTTGCCCGACTTACTGCTCCGGTCTCATCTTTCAGCGTCGAGATGCGTCCGCTCAGAAGACTGCAAGGAAGAGACACCGAGCAGGCGTCAAGGGCCGGGGGAGTGGATATTAGGTCTCCCAAGCCCTCTCCATCCCCGCTACCCTCGTCCCAAACTCGCTCTCCCGATCACCTGGAGAAGAAGGAGTCTGGGATCCAGGTGAGCGTCTGGCGAGAAGTACTGAATCTGGGCGGGGAAGTAGAGGAACGGGTGAGGAATGCGGTCCCCTCCAGCAGAATCCAGGGTTCCCTCTCCTCCCTTCCCCCGGCGTTTTTCCAGGCTCTCGCGCTTCCAACAGGGGGCGGAGCAACCCTTGATGGACAGGAATTTTCCCCAGGAGAGGCGGGTAGGGTACTCCCACTCCGCTTCCCGCCCCCAAGGATGGAACCTCAGGAGTCTCCCACACTCACCTCTTGCCTCCCACATTCAGATGAATCACTTCCCCGGGAGGCCCCCTAATCGGGACCCCCTCGGCTGCAGAAGTCGCAGCTGCCATGGCCCCCGGGCGAGCCGGCTGGCCCGCACTCACTTCCGGGTGTGCACCCGGACCCCGCCCCTACCGGTTGCTCATTGGGCTAGAGACTCCAGGGGTCACTGACGATTGGACAGAACGCCTGCCCATCGAGGTTAACTTTTCCGCCTCCTTAAAGGGGTCCGCCTTTCCTGGACTGGACGGGGCGGACCCGGTGTCTCCTTTGGGGAAGTTTATTACGAAGCATAACAAAACATTCTCCATCCCTCTAGGTTCTTGTTTTAGGTATGGCATCCAGGTGCATCATCAAGGGGCGTGTGTTTAGACCCGAATTAAGTACACATCAAGAGGTACATCTAGATGTTCTCCGCAGCCACGCTACCCCCGTGCCTCCTCCCCACCCCACACCCACCCCCACGGCCACCACAGCCCTCCTTTCAATCCTGCCAGACGCAGCCCAGAAAACCCAAACAAAGTAGCATAGACCGTCAAAGCCAAAAGGTTTATTATAGGTACATACAGTGTGCGCCCGTCACACCGACCCACACTCCCGGGCCCCAGCGGCTTCTCCAGGCGGCCATGGGGGCTGCCCACAACCCAGTCCCCCCACTCCCCAGGGAGGTGCTCCAGCCAGAAGCATGCACGGGGAGGGCTTCCCCTCGCCCCTCCCCTCATGAAGTGGCATTTACAACTGGAGGGGGGAGGAGAGAGGAAGACAGTTTTGAGCTTTGACGCCCCTCCCTTTAAAAGCCTTCGCGGATGCGGGGCGGGGGAGGAGGAGGTCGACGTTTTGCAAAAATAAACTAAGTCAGGAATTAACCGCATGGCTCTGAGGCGGCAGAGTGCAGGGGCTAGGGTCCCTTCACTCCCCCCTCCCAGACAGAGATCAAGGCAGCATTGGAAGTGAGGTAAAGGCGGGGAGGGGGTGTCCCCTCCCTACCCCCTAGCACCCTGGATGGTCCAGGGGACCTCACCAGCGCCCCTGTGCCCATCCCTAGGGCGGAAAGGGGGGCAGGATTTATCTCCCCCACCACCCCAGCTTCTTGGGGCAGAATCTGCAGATAGGGGCAGGGGGCTTGGCTCAACTGGCCCCCTGCCCACCCCCATCAAGCTCAGTTATTGCATAAAAATAAGGGAGCCCCAGCACCTGGGGTGGGGGTGGTGAGTGGGAAGGGGCCGAGATATGGCTATAGGGGCAGCAATCTCCCCACCAATTCTTGGGGTGCAGGAGAAGTCCCCTCCTTTCCTGTGCCCACCATGTCACGCGTCCTCAGTGTTGGAACTAGGGGCTCCCGCCCCTGTGGAAGAAAAAGTGTCTTTGTGCCCACAGTGCGGAAAAGAGGGGCGATGAGATGTGTCAGGCCGTGGGGGTGGGAAGTCACTTCCTGCGCCCGCTGGCCCTACGGTCTCCGCCTTCCCTCTTGGGATTGCCCTCGTCTGTGGATGAAGTAGTGGGTAGTGTCTGGCTCCAGCGGGCGATCTCTGCGTGTTCCGCCACTGAGACAGCCACAGCCTGCAGCCAGCCATTCATCTCCTCCTGAGTGAAGAAACAGGGCACAGAGTCCGTATTTGGAAGAAAGAAGCTGGAATAACAGGTGAATCTCAGATCAGACTACCCTCTCTGAAATTCAGTTTTCTCATCTGTTAAAAAGGGATGATGATGATGCAGTTACATAGCAATGTGTGTCAGGCTCTGTTCCACTTTAGTGGATTAATTCCCTTAAACCTATGCAATAGGACTAAATATACTTCCTACTACAGAGATAAATGGCATAAACAACAATAATAATATGGGCCGGCACTACTAGAGCACTTGACATTTACCAGGCCCTGTGCTAAGTACCAATTTATCATGTATCAATTAAATATGGAGCAATTTAATTCTCACAATAAACCTATTATAAGAAACTTTTTTAATTTTTTTGAGACAGAGTCTTGCTTTGTCCCCCCAGGCTGGAGTGCAGTGGCTCGATCTTGGCTCACTGCAACCTCCGCCTCCCAGGCTCAAGAGATTCTCATGCCTCAGTCTCCCAAGTATCTGGGACTACAGGCACATGCCACCATGCCTGACTACTTTTTGTATTTTTAGTAGAGATGGGGTTAACCCTTTGCAATTCTGCACCTCCGGTCCTCTGCACTTGCAGTTGCCTCTACCTAGATCACCCACTCCCTCCTGTTTTTGAGACAGAATCTCACTCTGTCCCCCAGCCTGGAGTGTAGTAACACAACCATGGCTCACTGTAGCCTTGACCTCCCTGGTTCAGGTGATCCTTCCACTCGGCCTCCCAAGTCTCTGGGACTACAGGCGTGTGACGCAACCCTTGGCTAATTTATTATTATTATTTGCAGAGATGGGATCTCTCTGGGTTGCCCAGGCTGGTCTTGAACTCCTGGGCTCAGGCAATCTTCTGCTTGGCCTCCCAAAGTGCTGGGATTACAGGCATGAGCCAAGATGCACGACCTAAATCACCCCCCCCCTTTTTTTTTAAGACCCCCGGCACTATGAATCACTTTTTTTTTTTTTTTTTTGAGACAGAATATTGCTCTTGTTGCCCAAGCTGGAGTGCAGTGGCAGGATCTCGCGTCACTGCAACCTCCGCTTTCCAGTTTCAAGCAATTTTCCTGCCTCAGCCTCCTGAGTAACTGGGATTACAGGCGCCTGCCACCATGCCCGGCCACCATGCCCGGCTAATTTTTGTATTTTCAGTAGAGACGGGATTTCACCATGTTGGCCAGGCTGGTCTCGAACTCCTGACCTCATGATCTGCCTACCTCAGCCTTCCAAATTGCTGGGATTACAGCCATGAGCCACCATGCCTGGCTGAATCACTCCTTTGTAAGGTGAACTCTCTTCTATCTTTCCAGTCTCACCTGAATAGCCAAGGCAAGGAGGTTGGACTTTGTCATTAGGAACGCCAGGCAGCCCTCCCTGAAGGCCTTCCCACTCCCCGCTGGGTTAGGAACCTCCTCTGGGCTCTCAGTGCCTGTGGGCTTTCCCATTACAGCCCTGATAACTTTGGCCTGTGCCTGTCCCTTCTCACAGCCCCATCACTCTGGGCCAGGAGCCAGCCAGCCAGGTCATTACTGACATCCACACAGAGGAAGGAACGGACCAGATCTCACCTCATCTTTTGCCTGAAGCAAAAATTCACTGCCATCCTGGGTCCTGCAGGAAGGGACACAGGACTTGAGGGATCTGGGGAAGGGGCCCAACCCACCTGCCCACCAGCTGTCCCCCAGGGAAGCCAGGGTCCCACTGGGAGGGGAAGCTGAGCCTTTGATCCCTCCCTCCTGCCCACTGGGGGGCTCACTGGAGCTTGAAGACATGCTTCTTTTTCTTGTAGTCACTAGCCACCTCGCTGGTGGCTTTGTGCAGGCTGAGCAGCGGCTCCCCACCGTGTGTGCTCCCGGATGCTGGGCCCTTGGAGTCCTTGTAGAAGCCCAGTTCCCCCTTACTAAGCACACAGTACAGGCTCACCCACGACCTGGAGCGACAAAATGGGGCTCAAGGCAGAGCCGCAGCAGTCTGCCTGAGGACTCTCCATTAACATCCTCATGGGCTGAATATACCTGAGCTTTCCTACCTCTGCACCTTTGCACCCTAGTTGGGCCATATGCCGAAAACGCTCTTATTTATGGCTGTTGCTGCCCCGAGGGGAGCATCTAAGTCTCTCAGTACCCAGCCTTTGCCCGGGTTGGGGTTTCCCTTCCTTATCCCCTCCCATAATGGATTTCCTGAAGGCAGGACTTAAGCTGTCTCCTCCATAAGCCTTTGCTCCACTCATTCCTCCCCACTCATGGAGCTTCCTCGAGGAAGGTCGATTGATCTATTGTCTGGAATAAGGAATTCCTGTCTCTCCAGCCATCCAAAGCCCTGATCCAGGAGAAATCCCTCCAAGAACAAGATGTACGAGGTGCCCTTGTTTAGTACTACCTTGGCATTAGATACAAAACGGAAAGACCACCTATAGATTCCGCTAGCAAAATCTGAATCTGTCCTGCCCACTTCATATCTTGGGTCTAGCCCTCACTCCATTATTGGCTGGTGCTACCCCTTTTTGGCTTCACTTGTCCCCAGATTCTGCCTCTCAGATGGACAAAAAGAGGCTGGACAAGCAGGAGCTGGACTCCAAGAGCAGGCGCATCATGACTAGACCCTCATTTGGAACACCTGCAAGAGATTACTCCCCCCTCCCAACCCCTACCCTCATTAGTTTGGGCTATGCCCCTTTTCGGACCCTCCCCCAGTTTGAAAGTTCAAGGGTGGACCCACCCCACTCATTGGTTGGATGACCTCTCAAGGCTCCACGACAAGCCATTGAAACCTTCTCAACTAGACGCCTCCCTGTTTGCTATTTAGCTAGTCAACTCCTGGGTTGGTTGCTAAGAGATTAGATTCCAATTTACTCACTTTCAGGATATTTTCCTTCAGTTCCCAGCTAAGCTCCACCCGTCAGCCATTAGATGCACTCATCTTAGGTCTTGCCCCTTCTTGTTCATTGGTTGGAATCAGGAAAGTTGAACCCCACCCCTCCGCTGGCCCCACCTACCACCCCCACCGGTTGGAGGGCCTGAAGTTGAGCCACACCCCCCTCCTCAGTCCCACCTCTCCACTCATTGGACACCCTGAACCTGAGACCCGCCTTCCAAAGCCCCGCCCACACGCTCACCGGTTGGACGACTTGCGGTTAGCGTCGAGCTCGCGCTTGCGCAGTAGGAAGCCCTCGTGCTGCACTGTGTGAGTGGGCGGTGGCGGAGGCGCGGGGGCGGAGCCGCCCTGGGCCGGGGCGGAGCGCGAGCGCCGGCTTCCCCCGCCCTCACCACCCTCTCTGGGCCGGGGCCGCCGTCGCGGCTTGGGCCGGTCCCGTGCCCGGGGCCGGTCCGGCCGAGGTGTCCGCTCGGGCGGCTCAAGCCCGTTGGGCAGGCGGCCGGGGGGAAGCTCGCGTGGCTGAGGCAGCGACGGCTGTGTGAAGGGAGGGGGAAGAGGGGTGCTGTCCATGGAGGGGGTGTGGGGGTCATCTGTTTGGGGGAGCTCATGGGTCTGGGGTCCCATCCGTCTGCAGGGCC